GGATGTGGGTGGGTTGGTAGAGGAAGAGAAGAAGCAATGGGGGGGGGGAAGGAGAGAGAGCGGGGATAAGAACCCACAACAATGACAATGCTGGCCTTAGTGGTGGCTTTGAGGGATGGCTACAGCTCTTGTGCCTTCAATATATATATGTTTGAATATATATATATATACATATATATACACATATACATATATATACATATATGTATACATATATGTATACATATATGTATACATATATGTATACATATATGTATACATATATGTGTATATGTGTATATAGGGGTTGAACACTGAATGCCAAAGAATAGGAAGACCACAGGTCTTGCTATAATATAAAACACACTCTGAGGAGGGAGCCAGTGGTCTTCAACCCATGAAGTTTTGTGGGAACTCTTCCAAGGAAAGCCATTAAATTTTGAGCGAGGCTTTGTACACACACACACACACACTTTGGCTACAACAGATTGCACATTGTCAAGCTTCTGTCTCCCAGAGGACACCATGAACTGAGCAAGACGCATCTCAAGCAATAAGGAGGGAGAAGTCACTGAAGCATCGTCACAGAGAGATATATCCTAGGCCGGAGGACGGGGGTCACACAGGACCTGGGTGGTGGTGGGGGCGATGGGGGGGGGAGGAGAAGGAAATCCTGGCAAAGCTCCTCCACAGACGTCTTCACCAATGCTTGGAGACCACTTTGATGCAATGGCAACCATGTCGTTAATGTGGTGGACATAGAGCCAGCATGGCAGCCCAGGACGCAGCTCTACCTGGCTTTACCGGGTGTCTCCCTGACGTGGGGGAGTTCAGCTCTGATACAGAGACGCTCTTTTATTTTCGCCGGTCCCTATTCCTGCATCACCAGGCACACCTGGGCCTTCCCTGCCTGGCCTCTGAGCAAACCCTCGGTCTCCCTCCAGCCTTGCCCCAGGGCCGCAGCCCTCGCTCACGTTTGCGCTGTCGCTTTGGAGAGCCAGCTGCTTCTGCGTGTGGAGGTCCACCCAGTCCTCCAGTATCCCAGGAGCCTCCTGTGTCCTCCAGACTCCATCCGACGGTTACGCTCATCTTTTCACATCCTAAATGCATCCCGGATCTCCCCGGCCTGGGGGTCTGCCTGCCATCCAGCATCCTGACTATCTCTCACTCAGGCCAACGGGAACGATGCCAATGGAATGACTTTTCTGGAGGGCGGGAGTCTCTGTGGGTCTATCGGTGTGCCTCTCTCTTCCTCCCGGCCTCCCTCTTTCTCTCTTTCTCTCCTTCTTTCTGTCTCTGTCTGTCCCTCCCCTGCTTGCTTTCCCAAAGCAGCACATGACACATATTTCATGTTGCCCCTGTTCCTAAGCTTACCCAGGGCAGATGAACCACGCCTCTCACAGGTGAGCACACCTGAGGCAGGGTTCAGGGCCCCACATGCTAGGGGTGCCTTCACGCCCCCACCTCCGGCTCTCATTCCCTCTTTAACGGAGCTAACTGCTTAGCCACCTTCACCATCTACGTACGGCAGGACTCCCAGAGGACCATGGGTGGGAAGAGGACTTCAGCATGGGGTGTCTCCCCATGCTGAAGGAGGTCAGGAGCGGGCTTCAGGACCAGATGACCTGGACTAGCATCCGGGTTTGTTCACACGCTGGCAAAGAAAGCAGGCTTGGGCAAAATCTCCCAGCTCCGTGTGCCGCTGTTTCTTCCTTTTTAATCTGGGGAGGGAGGTGTCACAAGCATCCATCTAGAGGCCTTGGTGGTGGTAAAAAGGGCTCTTGTGTCTGTGGGCCTTCAAATCCTATCTATCGCACAGTAACTACACTTGCGGTATTTGTTAAATGAGCATTAAAATTTTTTTTTTAAATTTTTCTAATGTAGGTCACTGGAAATAAACTGAGTTCCATACTTGAATCCATCTGGGCGTGTGTGTGAGTCTACTTTTGACTGAGATGAGAATCTGTATGGCAGAAGGGGGGAGGAGGAGGAAGCGGCCCCTGAGCTCCTGGGACACACAACATTTGCCATGTGGGGGGACCATTCTCTAGTTTTGGGGAGCAGGCGCAGCTCTCCATACAAGACTCCCACACCCAGCATTTAAAGGATAACCCAAGCATGTGCTGAACATGACCCAAACTATGGAGCATACATGTTCCATCTGACTTACACTGGAAGGTAAGAATTCTCAGGGACTAAGCAATTGACAGATGAATGGGAAAAGGAGACCCTGCAGAGTTTTAGACCTTGATCAGAAGCCAATGCCAGAAAGAGAGGCTCACATGGGTGAGACTTCAGGAATACTCCATCATCAGCAATGAAATCCTACCACCCTCGTGCTTGAGTCCTCTAATTTGATTGCATACAAACCCATCTTGATTAGATTTAAAAACTGTGGCGCCCACGTACCTCCATGAGCTGTCAAGTATTGTCCGACAACTGTAAACTGTACATGGGGGTCAGTGCTAATTTCCACCCAGAGCCAATGTACGAACCCAACAACAATGGCCGACACCATTAAATGCTGCAGATGTAGAAACATAATTAAATTAGCTGATAATCATCGCTCTCCTTCCAGAGAGGCTGCGATGTAGTGCGCTCAAGAATGTAATGAGGCCCGCTGGATTGAAAAATATGGTGGGAATAACAGGAACAAGATTACATTAATTGGAAGAGATACTGCTAAGGAGATTGCTTGGCATTTCTGCTTTCTTTTTTTTCCCCCTTTTTTCTTTTCTGGAAAACCACATAGTTCTAAAAATCATGAAACTAGCTTCTATCATAGTTAGAGAGGATGTAGTAAGCATTAGAAGAGAGAAAAGAAGGGGAGGGGCGGAAGGAGGGAGGGGAGGGGGGGAGGGAAGGCGGGACACACAGAGAGAAACTTCTTAAAGTTTTAACAAGGCAAGTTAATTTCACATACAAAATACTTGAAAAGGGAAAGGGAACACAATGCTGTGCCCATCTTATGCCTGGAGATTGAGGCTGCTTCTTATCTAGTGTCTTATTAGTCATTGTGTATTCGAATTATGGCGTAATCTCAAGCCTTGAGGAGAAGGGATTCAAGAAAATGTCACACACACCCCATCTTGCTAATTTAACTGGACTTTGTTCTCCATGTCTTTCACTTTAGCCAGTTAACCTCCGAGCAATTAAAAAGCTGACTGTGAGTTGGATGTGGTAGGGTGAACATTTCTATCATCTCAGCCACTCAGGGAAGTGGAGGCAGGACAAAGAATCTGAGGCCTACTTGGACAAAGTCCCAGAGGCCCTATCCCAAAACCAAAGCACACGCCAAAGGGACTGGAGGTGCTTGGTATGTAGTAGAGTCCTGGCCTCGCATGTCCAAGGCCCTGGGTCTGAGCTTCAGTACTGAAAAATAAAGTAGACAGTAATAGCGCTAAGTGACTGAACTGGGTGGTTGTTTCTGAATTGTGCCTGCAGCCACCGTCCACGAGAATGTAATGACTGTGAAGACCAGGGCCGGTCTCTGGGGTCCTGCCTGTGCTCACCTATGGTACTCTGTATGCTCATTAAATATGTGTTCAATAAACAGAATAATTAAGGAAGCAGTCTCGTAGACCTGGCTCTGGATTGTGAAGGATAACAACCTTCCACTCGCCATGTTGGTTCCGAGGAGTTTGCAGCAACTTGATAAAAATGATACAAAGCCTGCCAAACAAACCCTTTCTTGCATTTGCAGTGGCTACGTCTGCAGGGAGAAATGATCTGTGACCAACCCTGGGCCGGGACACTTGAAGATAGCAGTGGGGCTAACTGCTGAGCCTTCTCATGGATAAAGAATCCTGAAACTGTCATCTCACCAAAACCAGAAAAACACCAGGAAGTTCAGGTGGGCCAAGAGCAAGCTTCTCTCCCTCCCAACCACCCTTCAAGAGCCCTGAAGACTCTCTGCTCTTGGAGGAAGTTTGGAAAAGGAAGCAATGAGACACTTTACTGACCCCAAGTGTCTCTCACTAACTTGTTCTGCAGGAAGAGACCTCATGTCCACTCATACATCCGCCCCTGCCCTTCCTCTCACACCCCAGTGTTTCCTTTCCTAGGTATTCAAATGTCTCCTATTGCTTTCATTTCTCTGGCCTGAAATCATGGAATCAAAGACAGGATTTCCTCTGAGCAATATGCAGCCCGGAAGCACTTGCCTGGATTTGCATTGGGGTTTCCTAAGCACGGTGACCTGCACTCTCCAAAACCCTCACCGAAACGCAGGTCAGCTCTGTCTCCACAAAGCCGGCCTCTGCCACCATCTGCTATCTGTTAGATAAATTGGTCTGCATGAACACTTTGGTTTCTAGACACTAGCATATAATTTTCCATGGTTGTATGTATGTATGGGGATGCATTGTGTATCTGCACATGCGCATGTATGTGTTGTATGCATGTGCATCTGTGTGCATGCATGACCGTGCATGTGTGTGCACAGCCTTGGCACACCAACCCACTTTTCCAGGTCCAGAAATACTGCCAGAGTCGTGAGAAGCGCTTCATTGTACACGCTAGTGGCAAACTGGCAAAGGTGACGGAATAATAATGTTGGTCAAAGAAGCTGTACAGAAGTGAGGTATGCTTGCAAAATAGTCTGCCCCCCACCGAAGAGAGCATCCATCCACAAGCCCCCTCCCCGCTCAGGACCAGCCATTTCCAGAGTCGGGTGGAACTGCGCATGCGCCCTTGAGGGGCATACGCCAAGCACTAACTACGGACTGCGCATGAGTCCTGGTGTGACGTCAGCCATGAATTCGGTAATCTCACCGACCCTGAGACCAACCTCGGCTGTCTGAGGCAGCCAAAGACCCCAAGATGCCCAACAGTGCCCTTCATGGCCCTGGTCCCTAGCCAAGTACCACGCATGCGTAGTAAGCCCTTCACTGCCTTGGGTCCCTAGTATCACGCATGCGTAGTAAGCTCTTCACTGTCTTGTTTTCCCTGTCCCTCCCCCTCAGGTAAGTATCACGCATGCGTGGTAAGCCCTTCACGGCCTGGGTTCCCCAGTATCACGCATGCGTGGTACGCCCGCCCCCGCCCAGTCCCCCCTCTCTGGGGATGCGCGCCCCCTCCCCTGCCACCTCCCCGTCACCGGCCGCGGGCGACAGCGCACATCAGCGCCGCCTCGGACCCACCGGGCGACCACGGACCACCGCGGCCCAGGGCTGCTTCTGACACAACACACCTCCCCAGCCATCCCGACTCCGCGCTGCGAGGCCCGGAGGAGGGGAGGGGAGCGGCCGCCCCCGGTCACCGGCCACCGGCCACCCCGCCACCGGCCACCCCGCCCCGCCACCGGCCACCGGCCACCCCACCGGCCACCCCGCCACCAGCCACCGGCCACCCCACCGGCCACCCCGCCACCAGCCACCGGCCACCCCGCCACCGGCCACCGGCCACCCCACCGGCCACCCCGCCACCGCCCACCGGCCACCCCGCCACCGGCCACCCCGCCCCGCCACCGGCCACCCCGCCACCGGCCACCCCGCCCCGCCACCGGCCACCGGCCACCCCACCGGCCACCCCGCCACCAGCCACCCCGCCCCGCCACCGGCCACCGGCCACCCCACCGGCCACCCCGCCACCAGCCACCGGCCACCCCACCGGCCACCCCGCCACCAGCCACCAGCCACCCCGCCACCGGCCACCGGCCACCCCACCGGCCACCCCGCCACCGCCCACCGGCCACCCCGCCACCGGCCACCCCGCCACCAGCCACCGGCCACCCCACCGGCCACCCCGCCACCGGCCACCGGCCACCCCGCCACCAGCCACCGGCCACCCTGCCACTGGCCACCGGCCACCAGCCACAGGCCACCGGCCACCCCGCCACCGACCACCCCGCCACCCCCGCCACCCCCGCCACCAGCCACCGGCCACCCCGCCACCCCACCGGCCACCCCGCCACCGGCCACCCCGCCACCGGCCACCGGCCACCCCGCCACCGGCCACCCCGCCACCCCGCCACCCCCGCCATCCCGCCACCCCCGCCACCGGCCACCGGCCACCCCGCCACCCCACCGGCCACCCCGCCACCCCGCCACCCCGCCACCGGCCACCGGCCACCCCGCCACCCCACCGGCCACCCCGCCACCGGCCACCGGCCACCCCGCCACCGGCCACCGGCCACCCCACCGGCCACCCCGCCACCAGCCACCGGCCACCCCGCCACCGGCCACCGGCCACCAGCCACAGGCCACCGGCCACCCCGCCACCGGCCACCCTGCCACCCCGCCACCCCGCCACCCCGCCACCCCCGCCACCGGCCACCGGCCACCCCGCCACCCCACCGGCCACCCTGCCACCGGCCACCCCGCCACTGGCCACCCCGCCACCGGCCACCGGCCACCCCGCCACCGGCCACCCCGCCACCCCCGCCACCGGCCACCCCGCCACCGGCCACCGGCCACCCCGCCACCCCGCCACCGGCCACCCCGCCACCGGCCACCCCGCCACCCCGCCACCGGCCACCCCGCCACCGGCCACCCCGCTACCGGCCACCCCGCCACCCCACCGGCCACCCCGCCACCGGCCACCCCGCCACCCCCGCCACCTGCCACCCCGCCACCGGCCACCCCGCCCCGCCACCCCGCCACCGGCCACCCCGCCCCGCCACCGCTCACCCCGCCGCCGGCCACCCCGCCCCGCCACCGGCCACCGGCCACCCTGTCACCGGCCACCCCGCCACCGGCCACCCTGCCCGGCAAGCCCGGCCGGGGCAGAGCTGAGGCTGAGCTTTCTGTCTGTCTGTCTGTCTGTCTCTGTGAGCTGAAACTGTAGGTTGGCTGATCTCTGTCTCTCTGTCTCTGTCTCTCAGAGCTGAGGCTGTAGATTGGCTGATTTCTCTCTCTCTCTCTCTCTCTCTCTCTCTCTCTCTCATCTATCTCTCAGAGCTGAGACTGTAGGTCAGGCTGATCTCTCTCTCCTCTTTCTCAGAGCTGAGGCTGTAGGTCAGGCTGATCTCTCAGAGCTGAGGCTGAGGCTGTAAGTCAGGCTGATCTCTCTGTCTCTGTCTGTCTCTGTCTGTCTCTGTCTCTCTGTGTCCCTGTCTCTCTCTCTCCCTCTCTCCCCCCCCCTCAAGTTTCCATTTGCTCTCTTCTAGACGCTGCCCAATGCAGACACAGGCATGTCTTAGGACAAAGGTAACTTCAAAAGGCTAGATGAGAACAAAAGCATAGAAGAATGTTCTACATTTTCTTGGATAACTCATCAGCAGACAAAAACCCACAGTTCTTTTTTTCTTCTCTCTCTCTTTTTTTTGTATCTTTGCTCTTGCTGTTGAATTCTGGAGTCCTAAATTGCATGAGAAAAACCATGAAACACTAGATGATCATTTCTATCTTATTTGTACATGCGTGTGCACACACAGGCAAGTGTGAGGAGTAAGAGAAGTGGGAAGGAAGGAAGGAGGGGGAGGGAAGGGGAGAGGAAAGGGAGATAAAAGGAGAGGAAGGGAGAGGGAGGGGGAGGGAGAGAGCCCCCACCTGCCTACAGTGGCTGGGTAATAGTTGTCTGATTGTGACACGTTCATATAAATGAAGCCTATCACTCAAATCCTTGAGTTTTGAAGGATATGGCTATAAAGTCCAAACCCTTCCTTCTCCTTTCGTTCTAAGCAACAATATGATTCAAAGATTCTGACATCATCTTGCAGGTAGGTGTCCAATGTCTATACCCAGATTCTCACAGGGAAGGACGGGAGGGGAGGGGAGGTCTTAAGATCCAATCCAGGTCCTCGGTTTCAGTCCTGTGCAGAACTACTCGGTAGATCTGGAACATAGGGACGTCAGCTACATTTAAAAGCACTGAGATGAGGAACCTCAGAATCACGAAGATGAACACTGGCCTGGATAGAGCCAGATGGCTTTCTGGTGGGGTATACCAGGATGCGTGGAGGACCAATTCCCGTGGCTGCCTCCCCTCCCCAGCCCGTGCCCGTGTTAACGGCACACACGGTCTCCGAGTGGCTCAGAGGCAGGGGCTGCTTCTGAGTGCTGTGTCCCAGCGCAATGAATGAGAGCTGGATTTCCGCTTTCCACTTGTACTTATCACAATCTTCCTGAGCGACACAGGAAGCAAGGACAAGAGGTTCACTCCAGCGACAAACCTACTGCGTGATTTCATTATTTTTATCTCGGCAAAAACTGCTGTCCTGTCTGATTACCTCTTTGGGGCTTACTGAAGACGGCAAATTCAAAGCGTCCTAAAAGCTGCATTTTTTGTTTTGTTTTTTCTCCCAAAAGCAAGAGACCTAGCCCCTAGTTTGGCCTCGATAATCTCATAAAATAGATAAAGCAGAAAGCCAAACTCCGCATACCTCAATGAACAGCCTGCCAGGTTAACTTTGGATGGTCATGCCACAAAGGTGGATGTAGTAATGCACGCCTGTAATTCCAACCCTCGGGAGGCTGAGGCAGAGGGGGGTGGGAGGTGAGAATCTAAAGCAAGCCAAACTGCTCAGTGAGACTGTCTTCAAAATCAAAATAAACAACAACCAGCAACAACTGATGATGTGATGAGGATTAAAGTATGGGTGGGATGTTCACTACTTGCTGCTGGTGGTGTTTGTTTGTCTTTTAGTTTTTGAGCTAGGTGTTGCCATGTAGCTCAGACTGGCCTTGAGTTCACAACCCTCCTGCTTCAAGCTTCCCAAGTGCTGGGATTACAGGCATCTGCCAGCTATTCCCTGTTCTCCCCCCAGTGATACATATTTATATATAATCTATGTTTACTTTTTAAAAGTTTCCAGTTAGACTAAAATTTAATTATATATATTATATATAATTAATAAAAGAATTACTCTGGTCAAAAAGAAATGTACTCATTACCTGAGTAACCCCTCCGTACATCACCATCATAAAAAATTGATAAATTAAAAATAGACGTGTAGACTCCTGCTGCTTCATATTTCATATTTATTTGCTGAAGTATTATGAACGACTCAGAGTTCCTAACATTTAGATTCTGCTTTATAATCAGATTATGCTTCTAAACATATGCCTGCTGACTACAGCAGCTCACACTTGTAATCTTAGCTACTCAGGAGGCAGAGACTGGAAGGATTCTAGTTGGAGGCCAAGCCCTCCCCCTCCCCAATTCAGAAGACTCTCAACCAATAAAAGCTGCATGTGATGTTACACGCCCCCGCCCATGTTGGCCAATAAAAGCTGAGTGTGGTGTTACATGCCCCACCCACTTACGCGACAAGTATAAATAGGAGAATCTCAGTCCCAGCCAGGCTGAGCATTAAATACCTGAAGCACACGGGTCTGGGGCCTGGCTCAGGTGGCTGAAGCCCTGCCTCACCAGTGGAAGACCTCAGTTCAAACCCCAGTGTTAATCCCCACAATGCTGAACGGGGAAAACACATCAGTGAACGGCTCCCTTGGTCCAGAGAGGGATAAAAACAAAATCCCAAAGTTTGGGATCAATTTTTTTTTCTGGAGAAAACAAATGGTAAACAGAGTTCCAGAGACATCTGTTGTTTATAAAATGCCCAGCCAGAAAAGCAAGGAATGAGAAATTCAGCCAGTTGTCCAGATGTTAACAGAACGCCGGAGCCATCTTCATGTCCAGTAACGACGTCCAGCTGTTTGCATGGATAGGAGATGAGACGCAGAGGGGCTTCCAGAGACTTCCACAGCCCTGCCGTGCAGATCCACCTGAGGGACTGGAGCCGCTGGACTGGGGGTCCACGCGGCTGTCTGAAAAGCATCTGCTTTGTGGGGCTTTTATTACTATTATGTTTTTCTTTTCATTTTTTAAAATATATATATAGTGCTGGAGATTAACTCCAGGGCCTTAAGCACGCTAGGCAAGTACTCTGCCACTGAGCTGCAGCCCCTACCTGGCACTGGAAGTCTCCAGAGCATTCTTGAAGATTCTGACAACTGTGAGAATGTTGTGATCTGACCACAAAAACCAGCGATGGGTCACACCCTGAGCGTTTTGTCCCAGTTGGGGGGGGAGGGGAGCTTTCACACCGAACCTCTAGTGAGCAGATTCACTTCCAACCAGTCAAAAAGAATCGAGCTACCGCACACGAACCGGACTGCATCACTCAGGTTCTCTTGGGAAAACAAAAACCAAACAAATCAGGGCTGCCCCAGCTCACGCCTTAGTCCCTCACAGGCAGCCGCCCTCTCTTCCCAGCCTCTCTGCCCTGAGAGGCCCGAGTTTTAGGAAGCCTGTCCCTGAAGCAGGCCGAGAGTGGACCCTCAAATCACAGCAAGGGTTCAACCTCAACCGCAAAGGTGGTGGCCAATGTTCTTATTTCCTACTTTGCAAGTCTTGTTTTTTGTTTTATTCTCCTGCTACACTGCAGAGCAAGACAGGACGCGAGCGCACACCAACTAGCGTTAACGCCGCCCTGAGGCAGCCTTTGTCGGGGCTGTGTCTAGGATGGAAAGCTGGGGGGCTGGGGGGGAGACTGTGGCCCGAGCCAGGAATGTGGCTCACAGTCCCACCAAACAGTCAAGGGGGTCTGTACAGCTCCAGGCCTCCGCGATTTCAACTACACCTGATAGGGCCGTGTGGCATTCGTGGCATTCTCTTCTTAAGTTCAAAAGAACAGAGAATTCCTAAGTAACAACCAAGAGAAGAGGAACCCACAGAATGGATGGTGTTATTGGGGGGGGGGGACAAACAGGAAAATCACATCTCTGGCTCATCTCAAGTCCAGACATGGTTCATGGATGAACATGCCAGCTGCCCGCAGCTCCCTGGGCATCTTGGACATGAATCAAAATGAAAAAGCCAGGAGGGGGATTTCTGGGGAGAGGGGCAGGGAGGGGGTGCAGGGAGGGCTTCCTTCTTGGCCTCCACCATGTTGCACCATCTTGCAGGTGGAGTTTCTGTTATAAGCATGATGATATTTTGGGGGAGGGGTCAGAAGAAACTGAGCTCTGAGTCTCAGAGTTGATGGCTCTCTGTCTTCTAGGAGGGGGGAGGGGGAGCCCATAGCTCAGACACATGCACGGTTCCTATAAGTAGCCCAGGACACGAGGCGCAGATGGCACAAAGTTAGCGACAAGTACATCAGGCTTCATCACAATTAAAATCGTGCATCTCGGGATGCAATCAACAGAGTGGAAAGACGGCCTACCGTGGGAGGGGAAACTATTTGCAAGTTATATATCTGGTAAGTAATTAAGATCCAGCATGCAGAAGGAACTCCTAAGACTCAACCACACACGACCCCGTTACAAACAGAGGCCTAACGAGGCAAGTACCCGTTTCTCCAAGGAAAAGATGCAGAAGGCCAGGTAACATCTTGGACAACTCACCAGAGGGGGAAGGGGGAAAGGGAGAAAGAATCCACAGTTCTCTCTGCCTCATACCCCCATCCTCTCTCTGCCTTGCCTTGATAGAAGGGAAGATATTGAGGTGGACAAACTGGATTAAAGATCTTTCCCACCACCCTCCTGGGGGAAAAGCCAGCGCTCTGAAAGACTGCTTCATCGTCTCTCCAGCTTCAATCCCTGTCTTCAATCCCATTGGACGGAATTAAGCAGGGGGTATGGGGGGTGGCGGGGGGTAGGGGGGAGTGGGGGCGAGGGAGCAGAGCAAGGTCTTGCTTGCTTCCGTCAAACATGGGCATGAATTGCCTTTCTCGCTTTGTCTGGGAGGATAGATAAAGATGGGGTTTGTCCTGCAGACTTGACATCCTCTCCTCTCCTCTTGCTGTGTAGCCAAGAGACCACACAGGAAGATTCCAGAACCCCGCTGT